TTCGGCTCGTGCGCCGGCCGATTCAGATCTGAAACTCCCAGCCCCCCCCCCCCCCCCCCCNCCCCCCCCCCCCCCCCCCCCAAGCCCCCAACACATGATGACCAACCGAGTCTCCAACACGTCAACACGCGAATATAGTGTGGGTTTTTTATGTATATACGCCCGCCACACTCAGCTCAATTCAATTCATCATCAGGACACGACGCAAGACTCCTGCAGCCACTCGCCCACGCCGTTATTCCTGCACAGCTCGCACCGCTCGTACTCGTCACTGTTGCGCTTCGCGTCGGCGGCCCTGCAGCAGCAGCAGCAGCGGCAGCACCGGCACACACACAACCGGCGAGAGAGAGAGAGAGAGAGAGAGAGACATAGGGGGTTGGACGCTTGATTGCCGATTGTCACCAGCGGCTGGTTAGCGCGCGGTCTNGGGGGGGGGGGGGGGGGGGGGGGGGGGGGGGGGGGGGGGGGGGGGGGGGGGGGGGGGGGGGGGGGGGGGCTACGTAGAGCGATGTGGTTTTGCCTTATCCAACAAGTTGCAGCAGGAGAGAAGGTGTATATCCACCAACAACAGCAGTAGATGCACCTTCCTTCGCTGAGCAAAACATGAGAGGACTGTTGGCTCCAACTCCTGCACCCTGCTCTGCAAGCAGAATACTGCAGAGACGAACGAGTGTTTTTCTGAAATTGGGATGTTTAAAGAAAGTGTCCTTTTAAGTCTGAGTTATGTGAGGAGCGGAAGAAGAAAAATACTGATTAGCCTTTCAGCACGCAGCAGCAAATGGAGCATCGGAAAGTCAGCCAAGAAGTTGTCATGTTATGTGTCTGCCCTAAGCAAGCAAGAGACCGTTAGTCTGCTGCTGCAGCCAAGAGGTACATCGGAATTCAATTCAGTAATTTCCTTCGTTTGTCACCCGTCGGGTTGGGTGATCGAATGACGCTTTTGCATAAGACGGATGCGTCCGGTTCGACCGACGGTTGATCCGTAAGCGAATCGAACATGGGTCGGGAGACACCGCGAGGGCGACTTGGGGAAAGCCGCAGAGACACCAATGGCGCCTCGAGGCGAGTCCTTCCTTTGGGTATCGGTGGTGCGGGTGATCAGATGGGGGGGGGGGGCATCTCCGG